GCTTGTCTGCTGTATTTGCCATCTTCAGAGTCTGTGCCATGCTGAGTGCTGCAGACTTCTCACACACATTTCTTCATTCATTCTCAGCATACCCAGTGTACATGGGATGGAAATGGCACCATTTTACAGATAAGGAAACTGAGGTTGGACAAGATAGGTGCCTCTTTCCCTAAGTTCTTCCCAAAATTCTGGGACCCTAAGCTCTCAGCCAACTTAAGTCTAGGTAGACAGATGTTCATACGCTGATACCTAAGACGAATAGACAGTGTAAGTCTCACAGAGAATGGGGGAGAAGAAGAATGAATAATAAGCATTTGGACAAGAGGCAGGGTAGCATTGATCAGCCTAGTCTTGATTTCAGATCCAGTTCTCTCCGTCAGGAGTGGTATGACCTTGGACAGCTGAAGTGAGGTAATATTGTGAGCCATCCCTTAAAGGGATGTCAGTCTTCTCGGAGGGTCACAGTAGTTACTATGTGTGATGCTCAAAGGGGCATACTTGGAGGTAGATAATACACAGTGGCAGATCAGATGGCATCGTCTAAGTGTGGATATTTAAAGACTCTCACCTGCCAGTCCAATGCAGCCTCCTGCAGGCATCTCATCTCCTGGATCCTGGATGGAGCCCATTTTGCTCTGAGCTCAAGACCTGACACAGACTCAGTCTACCTGGTATATCTTGTCACTCACCAGGACGGTTCCATAATGGCTGGAAGCCCCAAGTTTCCTCATGTGAGACACAGCTCACAGAGTGTAAGCAAGTGTGGAGTTCCATGCACCCGGGCATCGGGCGCACGGTGCTCGTTCAATAGCTGCTTGCTGATGTGAGGGCTACTACTGTCTCTGCTGCAGCTCTTCTTCCCAGTGGACCAGAGTGTGAAGATGTCTGTTGTCTAGTTCTGACATTTGTCAAGTGATTTATGAGCTGAAATGCATTTGTTGATGCTCTGGACAGTGGAGAGTCTAATTGCTGAAGAGAGACGTGCCAGGAACGGATTCCTTTCTCTCAGAAAAGGGGGACTGAGCAGATGTAAGAGTCCACTGCCCTTGAGTAAGCAAACATTCTCCTTTTTCATTTATAGTTAAGAAAAATTGCAAGTGACACTAACCAAAGGTCAAACAGCCAAGTCTTGGCGGCCGCCTGAGAGAACAGTTAGGTGTCCATACTGTGGACTCCAGGGACCCCACACTCGCAGCAGACCTTCTGTAAGAAGGGCTGCTCTGCAGCGCTTCCTACTGTTTTGTTTCATGGATGCCTTTGGCAATTTGAGATCTTTGAGAATTGTGCTTTAGCAGCAATGAATTGTGATGGGCAGTCACTAAGGTAACGGAGAGTGTCTGTGAGATAGGAATGGCTACTCCTCTACTTCCAGTGTACTGCTGGGTAAGATGAAACACACCGTACACTGGATGAGAACAATACCATGACGTGCGTGTAGATTCTTCTTATATAAAAGATGCATTGTATTATTTTAAGTGTGTGTGCATCACATCTGTGCCAAGGAAGTAGTGAGCCTCCATGCTGGGACTAGAACTCAGTCCTTTGCCAGGCGAAAAAGTACTCTTGACCACTGAGCTAAAATCTAATATGTCAGGCAAATGTCTGTGATCTCCATCACTAGCAAACACGCTAGTCACTGTATTAAAAAGACATAGACATGCCGGGTTCCAGTTTGAAGCTGGTTTAAATATGGATGGATGGATGCTGTCCCACCCTCGTTCCCCTGCACCTCCTTAAGTAAACCGCAAATCGCAGATTAGGAAGCTATAGTTTTGGCCAGCCGTGCTGAGGGAATAACTCAAGAAATAGTAGTTACCAAGGACCAGTCCTGTTCACTGAGTGGTTCTAGAACTCCAGGGAATAAGAAAGTGAGGTCCCTCTTGAGAACTTCATCACTTCAGTGGCCCAAGGGGCAGTACTAGTTAACCTTCTTAGATCCTTCCCTCGCTCCCTCCTTTCTTCTTTTTCTGGGTCTCATGTATCCCAGGCTACCTTCAGAGCTTGCTCTGTAGAGGAGGATGGCCTTGAACCTATGATAACCTGGAGTGCTTCGATTATAAGTGTGCATTCCACACCGACATCACAGCCTTGAGTGTGCTAGGCTGGCACTCTATCAACCTGTCCAAAGCCAAAGTGGCACCCTTTTTATCTGCATATTAAAATATGGACACCATGGGGCTTGACAAATAGTGTCGGGACCTCACTGGAAGAAAGGGGAGAGTAGAAGTCACAGAAGTATTTCTTAGAGGCTGAACATCTTTGATGAACCTCAGCTTTCTATTTCTCACTTTATTGAATTGTGGTCCAGTTGTCTTTGTTACATGTCTACATGGCAGACTCTCTTTGAGAGATGCAATATGTATGTGTGTATGCATTTTGTTATATAAGCTAGATCGATCACGTCATTCTGATTTATCTATTCGATTTCTTGATTCTGAATCAGGTAAGCCTTCCACCTTGCATGTATGGTTTCCCAGCTCCTGGGGGCTTCGATAGTGTTCTGGTGCTGCTCTTGGGAACACAGTTTCTTGACTGCTGTATCTTGCTTTTGGATTTTGCTTCTGGTGACGTCAGGCTGCTACTCATGTGCTTCTCATTTTATCTGCCTGTTCTTTTGTTTACATTCCCTTCAAATGGGAACTTCCAGCACTAGTTCTGACCGTTTTCTTTGCTACCTCCAGGTTCCTGTTAGAAACGTTTCTTTTTTCATTTATTTACACAGTGCAAGTGGAGGTCAGCGAATATCACTCACTCACTCACTCACTCACTCACTCTTTTGTTCATTGGGGCTTATTGTGGCTGTGGGGAACCCTCCTCAGGACCACCAGTGGTGTGCTCCACACAGGCAGGCGGCTGCTTGTCTGGTCTCCCTTTAACACCCTACCTCTCTGTCCTCAATCCAGATGTATTGCTTCTGGGTGTACATAGAGTTCTTTCAGCCCCCTGGTAGGGATGGGAGGGTAGGAACCTAGGGTTCTATGGAACAGACTTTTCTCAGAATCTCAGCTCCCTAATAAGGTTCTTCAGCCCTTTCTAGCCTCTGTTGCACTTTCTAAGTCTGGTCCCAAACCTCACCTGCTTCAACTGCCCGTGAGCTACTAGTAGTAATGTAGAGAGAATATGGTACATATTTGGGGTAGATCTTTCCAGAATCCATCTCTCAACTCTTACCACATTGTACTTATAAAAATGACACAATCAAAAAATAAGCACTACAGAATTATACAAAGTAAAGGGAGCTTGAGTCTGGCTAGTTGTCAATGGTAGTAAGTTGGTATGCCATTTACATATTTTCTGTACATTTAAGCATTTGTAAAGATTAAAAATACAGACATGAGTATACTACATAGACAAATATTCACTTATTTCCCCCCCATCTAATATACTAAAGATTTTAAAAATGTAAGCTGATATTAGCTCCCCATATTTTTAAATGAGGTCTGTGAAGAACATATCAAGAAATTTAATGTATGTTTCTTATGACATTTTCTCTGTTATGAACAGTTATGTTCTGAATGTCTTTGGGTATGAGAGTATTTCTGCATGTCAGATTCCTAAATGTGGTGTCTGTGGGTCAGAGTGTATACGATTCTAACTAAACACTATACTTCTGCTAAACTTTCTTTCCAGGAGGCTGAGGGTCACTGTCCCATCTACAGAACCCGAAGGCCCTCACTAACGTTAGATCATTCATGACTTCTCTTTTGCTTTGTTTTAAATTTCTTTTTAATGTGTCAGTGTATCTGCATGTGTGTGCAGATACTTAGGGAGGCCAGAAGAGGGCGCCAGAACCCTTGGAGCTAGGAGCCAAATGCAGAAAAGACTTCCACCCGCTAAGCCAGCTCTTGCTCCTCATTTGCATTTTTGATAGTTAAGTTAAAAGTACCATCCTCCTGTTGTTTTCTTTTGAAGATTTTAAATAAAAGTGTAGTACAGTTGTCACACTTTATTTCTCTTCTCGGAAATGCTGTTTATTGTGTTTTCCATCTTGCCCTGTTCCCATCTCGTTCTTTTTAACAAAGCAGTCTGCTCTCATCTGTTGTCTGTATTTTAAAATGTTTCCCGGCGTGTTATTTTTCTCTGTAGTGTGTTTGATCTCCTGATATTTTAAAATTGTACATTGTTTTTAATGTTAACCTTATTTTGCAAGTTTCCCGTCTCCCTGGAAAACCTGGACTTTAGGGTGACAGTTACACAAAGAATCCACTCACGTTTGTTTTGTTCCTGCACTTTCATGGTCTCTCCTTTCATACCAAAATCTTTCGTTCACCTGACCTTTTTCTCGTTACCTATTGAGGTTGGTCTGGAGGGCACTGTGGCTCACGCTGACCTCGGGCTCACAGGCCTTCAGCCCCTGTCTCTGAGCTGGGGAATATAGGTGTGTACTGCTACACCTGGCGCCTTGATCTCAGGCTCACAGGCCTCCTGCCTTAGTGCTGGGATCACAAGTGTGAGCCATTCCACCTGACTCACTGGAAATCTGTTCTGATGTATGGCTACCTATTTAACCCAACATTGTGACTAGAAGCTTTTACAAAACCTATCAGAAATGCTACTTTTATCAAGATTGTTTTGCTGAGTGATTTCAGATATGTCCAAAGGGAGGATCAAAATAGGGCGATGCTGGACTCCGACACCTGCACAGAGCATCTGCTCAGAGCACGAGCTGCAGTTCTCCTTTCGTTTTTCCTCCGGCTAAGGGCAGAGGACTGTGACTTGATACAAAGAGTCAGGAGGCAGAGTTAGTTAGGTTGTGACTCTTTTGGTTGCTAACTGGGACTTGGGGCTCCATTCACTTCCTGGGATCTCATTTTGCTAATCTAGAAAGCAGTGGCTTGGCTTGAATGATCTCGGGAGGTAGTTCAGGGAAACCAAGGCTTTTGTTTGTCGTAAATAAACATTTCCAATGTGTCTCATTAGGGAGGCTGTTGTGCTGAGGGGAACGTGCTTCTCCCTGTGCCCGCTCTCTGCTGACCCGATTCCCTGTTATTCATTTTTAGCTGTCTGAGAAGTACGGGCTGCCGGTGGAGAAGATCACAAAGCTTTATAAGAAGAGCAAAAAGGGGTAAGAGAGACGCTAGGCCCAGCTAACTGTCATGTCTGCAAGGTGCATTTTTTTTTGTTGTTGTTGTTGTTTTTTGTTTTTCGAGACAGGGTTTCTCTGTATAGCTCTGGCTGTCCTGGAACTCACTCTGTAGACCAGGCTGGCCTCGAACTCAGAAATCCTCCTGCCTCTGCCTCCCAAGTGCTGAGATTAAAGGCGTGTGCCACCACCACCCGGCGCAAGGTGCATTTTTAAAATGGCTTTACTTTTTGTGGTGTCTGTGGCCCATGATACTAGCTAATGACCTTTAGTGATAGAGGCAGGGTGACCCACAGTGCCTCTCCAGGATGTCCCCTGAGGTGCTTTCATTTGGTGACAGTGTTATAAGTGGGCAGAGTAGTCTAGACATGATGAGGGAAAAGAACCACATAGAGCACTCTTCACATTGGTTTCTGGGTGACATAGTAGGGACAAAAATTAATTGGGGTCAAAGAAAATTATTCCAAGGTAATCATTAATGAAATCTCAAATGGTCCTCGGGCCTGCTTGCCCAAATTGTTAAGAATAATCAGCCCTTGCTGGTTGGGTGGTGAGGTGGCTCTGGGTTCCTTGCTCACGGCTTCAGCTCTTTTCTCTCACTGATGTATCAGCTTACTGATGAGAAGATGAAGCCAGGGCCTGCTTGAGCACTCAGCCCCAGGTTTCACGTTTAGTAAACAACACAGATTCAAGGGAGGGATGGAAGGAGTGCAGTGGTCTACGGCCTCAAGGCTCACGAGCTAGCCCACCTTCGCCCCCTTCAGGGCCTTTCTAAGGCTTTCTCTGCCAGAATAGGTGTCTTGAAACTCTTCTCTGGACCCTTTTCATAAAGAAAATATGACCTGGGTCCTCAGGCTTTCTGAATCTCAATCTTTGGCTGACCGAGCATGAAACTTGAGCTCTTGTTGGGAACTCATGAGGATGGGCTGCAGCTTTTCAAGGTCAATGCAGTCTGTGGAGACTCTACTTTGAATGAAGCCTCAAGTCTCCTGGGCTAGGGAGCCTCCGTGTGGATAAACACCACTGCCTCTCAGCCTTGAGTCTGAATCCTGTGTACAGGGCTTTTATCCCAACAACAACCCACTAAGCATGGGTGGTTCTTATTTTTGTTAAAGCATAAACTGAAGCTATGACATCTCGCTGACACCACTATAAAGTGATTCAGTGAGTCGTTCTCAAACAAAAATCTCCAGCTAGTGAGAACGAGACAGGCTCAGGCATGTGTTGCTCTTTCATAGGACCCTGGTTCAAGTCTTGGCACCCATATGGTCCCAGATGATTAAATGTCCTTTTCAGAACTCTGATGGGAGCGTGCACACATCTGGTACACATACATACATTTCAGGCAAAACACTCATATATAAAACAAAAATAAAATTAAATAAAAAAAAATCACAGATAGAATCTGGAAGTTGGTTTTCTTGAAACCAAACCGCCATGGAGTAGGCAGGCGAGGAGATGTGGAGTAGCTTAGGGGTGTAGAGTAGGCAGGCGAGGAGA